AGAAAAGAAAAGAAAAGAAAAGAAAAGAAAAGAAAAGAAAAGAAAAGGAGAACCGCCAAGTTAATCATTGCTATGATGATATGGTATTGAAGCAGCAGATCTGGTACTTTCTTAAAATAGTGTGACATTGCTGAAATCTTCCAGATATTCACAAGAACATAAACATTCACTGAGAATATTAAAGTCAGTAATAATTACTAAAAGCCTTGAAGACAGAAGACATTTCTTGTCTCTGATCCTTATACTGATTCATTTTTCTTTTCTCTAAAGAATCTGACAGCTATTATTACTGGACATATATGGAATGCTGCATACAATTTTTATGTGGATATTTCACTCTTCCACAGGATAAATGTTCACTTTTAGCAGGAAAAGGCATTCCTATTATACTCTATTTTAGAAAAGAGAGTTCAAATTGATAAATAAAAGACCGATCTGATTCCTGACTAGTGTCGCTGTCAGAAGATATCAAGGGAGTACTCACACTTCTCAACAAGAAAGAAGAAAAATTGGGCTTAGTTGCCAGTGATTCTGTCAAGTGAACACTTTGTTTTCCCACTTAAAACGAAGTTCTTCTGAAAGATCCCTTCTGCCACTCTTCTGCAAATAGCGAGACAGGAGCTGCTGTTTGTCAGCCGACCTTGGAAGGGTCTTTTGCCAGCAGCAAAGAAGCTCATAGTTCTGGTGTATTAAATTATCAGGGCACTTCAGCCTAACAAGCTGAGGCACGCTCCGCCGAACAGGCAAGCGTAAAGCATTCAGTGATGTATTATCTTCTGCAAGCTCTTCCGCAAGCCAGTACAGCAAGTTGTCCCATAGGGCCTCTGAAGGGCAAAAATTAGTGAAGTAATTGCATTACTCTCCTGTTATGTAAATCCTTTTAAAAGCATTCTAGAGTGCAGTCTCTGTGGGTGAACTCCCAAACTAAATGTTGCTTGTTTTATAATACAATGGAAACATCATCACTTCTTATTTCTGATAAAATTTCTGGTAACTGCACTGAGATATGAAGTGGACTTAGTCAAAAGCAGATTTGGTAGTGATCTATAGCTCTTGGAACAGCATGCAGATTGCAATAAAAGGCCCAGTCATTTCCTATAAATGATACATTTGTTATACTGGAGCTTTCCATTACAAACTGAATCTTATTACATAGAAAATTGTATGCTGCTTAAGCACCCCAACCTAGTGCCACCTTACAAGAGCTTATGCATCTCCTGGTAACCAAATTGCTCTTTGTATAAAACTTCCTGAGTATGGTATTTTAAAAATGTCAGTCACAACTGAAATAAATCCTGCCTGTTAAAAAAGTAAATAGCTAAATTAATTAGTATTTATATTGATGTTAAAGCATTATGTAAGTGTTCTTACCTGATGAATCACAAAAAATTCTTTTTGTGCTTTGTGGACGGTTGATCAACTTTTCATGCTATCAAAGAAAAAATGTTGAAGAAAGAAATGAATAAAACTCGAGGTGAAGGATATGGGGATGCATTGCAACGCATCAGCAGTGAAGAAAAGTCCTACCTATGTAGAGCATTTTTATGACTGCTGAAAACAAAGCAACACTATCATCTGCTATAGATAGTAAACAACTATTAAAATAATACAACTAGGTCTGTTCTCTCCAAATGGATGTCTATTGTATCTTATTAAGAAGTCTGACTTCTGCAATTTCATAAAAGTTTCTTCAGCTTTATATTCTAATGTGTACATAGGAAATTGGGGTTATAGAACATCTGTATGGAATCTTTCTACGCTAAATGGATTCTAATTTCAAATGCTGCATTATCTTCTTACATTTGTTTACTTATTGTAACTGTGGGCACATCATATTATTTCAAGAAAAATAACAATAGATACTGCATACCTACAGAAATCAATAACCATAGAATCATAGAATCCTTAGAACTGGAATGGACCTCTGAAGGCCATCTAGTCCAACTTCCCTGCAATGAACAGGGACACCACAGCTAGATCAGGTTGCCCAGGGCCTGATCCAGTCTCACTTTGAAAATCTCCAGGGATGGTGCATCAACCAGAATACTAGGTAACCTGTTCCAGTCCCTCACCACCCTCACTGTAAAAGATTTTTTCCATATATCTTATTTAAATCTACCCTCCCTGAGCTTGAAGCCATTTCCCCTTGTTCTATCACCACAGACTCTGCTAAAAAGTCTTTATCCTTCTTTCCTACAGCTCCCCTTTAGATACTGATAGACTACTATCAGGTCAGCTCAGAGCCTTCTCTTCTCCAGGCTGCACAGGCCCATAGTTGAGGTGTTCCATTCCATGGATCATTTTTGTAGCCTTTCTCTGGATGTGCTCCAGCAGGTACATGTCTCTACTGCACTGAGAACCTCACATCAGGATGCAGTGCTCCAGGTGAGGCCTCATCAGTGCAGAGTAGAGGGGCAGAATCACCTCGCTAGAGATGCTGGTCACATACCCTTTGATGCAGCCCAGAATATGGTTGGTTTTCTGGGCTGCAGGGGCATGTTGTTGGCTCGTGTCCAGCTTGCCATCCACCGTTACCCACAAGTCTTTTTCTACAGCTCTGTGCTCAGTCTTTTCATTTCCCACTTTATACTGGTAATAGCGGTTGCCTTGACGCAGGTGCAAGGCCTTGTGCATGGATTTGTTGAACTTCATGAGGCTCTGAATGGCATCCCATCTCTCTAGTGAATAAGGATATAATTCTAGAAATTGTTTTGTTTTTATAGCTGCCTGTATTCATTTTACAAATTTCAACTTTTAATTACAAATCACTAAAAATCATCATCATTCAAATGACAACTTCACGTGCAGAGTTCTTCTTTCTTCCTCTTAACAGTGAAAAGAAAGAAAAGAATGTGCGTTTTCCTTATGACTGAGAAAGGGGAAACTCTTGTGAGGCTTGTTTTCTACTCCATATAGAACAAGAAATTAAGTACAAGAACATAGAGCACAAGAGATTGACTTGTAAAAAATGAAATTCTGCTCCTCTTTTGTTAAAACCTGTACTTCTCCTCTTCTAGTGCCAACATGCCATGTACTTTTGTCATACATTCAATTGCATTACCTTCCTGTTTAGCCTTTTCCTATGAGACTTGCTGAAGGTTTATTCACAGAGCTTTCCATTTCCATCTGTGAATTAATATTATGAAACTCAGACTGAACTCATTATTCTCCTTTTTCTGCTGGACATGCTGAACCATAATCCTGCTGACCTTATCTTTAACAGTTGCAGTATGTAAAATGTAAAAATAACCATAACTGAGTTATCGATTCACCTTTTCAGGAGGCCTGTGGTTTTGGGAGGGGATCCTAGTGTGCACAGGAGGCTCAGAGCACACACTGTCCACACTGCAAAACAGTTTGGGCTCTGCATATCTGTAGATTTAAGTCTTTTTGGGTTGGGTGCTTCTACAGCTGTTCTGTCGTGCACTGTGTGAAGGTAGAGTAAAACGATTGAAAAGGACAGTAAAATAAAAAGTAAGTGGAGCTCTCTCCAGAAGAGGGCATTGTTTTTCTTCCAAGGCAGAGATTTCTTTGGCTTCCTTTTAAATATGCATTTATACTTAAACTTATTTTCATTCATTAATGAGAATTTAGAACCTCAAAGCTCTGCATGAGATTTTCAGACTTACTGTAGATGAACTCAATTACCAGTGGTTTGACTTTAATCTGAACTACTTTATGCTACTTAATATTAAAACAGTAGTAAAAATGATAGGAATTGACAAGTATTGTCCAGTAATCATGCAATAGTATGCTGTGTGTTAGACCAAAAACATTACATCTGCCTTAATCTACCTTTTAATTAAAGATTAAATAGCCATTGTGAAGAGCTAAATTCACCCCTAGTTCAGCTGCACTGGCACATTGCCCCACTGTTCTTGTTAACAGTGCAAGTAAAATACTGTTAGTGGTCAGAGCAGATTTCTAGTCTGGAAGACCTTAAAATTAGCTAAGCAACTGCCTTTTTGAAGCAGTGGATCACATGCTATTTTGCCATTAGACAGTCATTAGTTAAGCAGAACTTCAGCAGAATAGTAATTTGATAATGCCTGTATGGATTACACCACTATCTTTCTGCAAAGCACTCTGATTTCAGTCAGTAATACTAAAGTGCCCTGCAAATGGACCTTCAGACATGAACAGACTCTGCTTGCATATCAAACAGGACTGACAGAAAAGGAGAAATTAACCTTTTAAACTCTTTAGTCCAGCTTTGCAGTCATAAAACTGCCTTGAAATCTCGGTAGAAAATCACTGATATGCAGACGCATACTTGACATCAGAACCTGATCCTCTGCATTTTCTTGTGTTGAACCTGTTTGTCAAACCTCTTTCTAATGCTAAGAGAGCAAACGTTCCATAAGCAGGAATTGTTAGTAAAAGATGTCTGTGAACTCAACCAAACAGAAGAAATGAGAATAATCTTTTCTGTTTTGACTGTTTTGACTATTTCTATTGACTATTTTCTACTTTCTTTATTCATTAGAAAGCACAGCATAATGATACATCTAATTAAAATTTATTGATCACATCACGGGTAATAAATATTGGATACAGTACCTCTGTCAGCGTTGTTGTCAGTACTTTATTCTATGATAACAATTTTAGAATAATAAGATATGCTAAGTAATTAGAATTTCTTTTTTTGTTTCCTTAACATTCCATGAAAACAGGATCATTATGTTTAGCATATGGCCATTTCCTTCCTCAAACTAATTTTTAGCTGCTGCATTATCCTGTGAAAATGAATTAATCTTTTGATTATTTTGCATGTTAAAAATATGTTCTTTTGCACCACTAGTTACACCTGCCACTTAGCAAAATCATCATTTTTGTAACCTACAAATGAATTATAGCTTTTCCATGTTCCTTCCCTCCATAATCTGTAAACATATAGAACATTTCAACTACTATCAAAATTGCCTGAAGAATTGTCACCAATGTATTTTTTTTCTACATGGAACCCATCCATGTTTTTGATCAGATTAGCCACATTCCTCCACCACTAAAAACTTTTTAACATCAAAATTGCTTATTTTACTTTCTAGACTTTCACTATCATTATATTCAGTGATTCTTCACTGACAACTTTAGTGCTCTGAATGTTTTTTGCTATCAGTAAATGTTCTGCTTAACTATTCATAACTTTCTAATGAATACATTAGCACAAATCTGTGTGGGATCTGTGTGGGACTTCACTAGTAATCACTTCCCTTCAGGAAAGCAACCACTTTTTCCTAGTCTGTTTTTCCTACTTTTTACCCAGCAAGGTAGCCAAAATACAATATTTTGTTGTCTTAAAATTTCTATCAATTTGTTCAGTATGGAATTTTGTGAGCTGAGATGATATAAAGGAGGATGTTATTTTGATGCTATTCATTCTACAGAGAGGTATTTCATTTTGTGTAAAATAGAAAGTATAAATCAAATAATGGAAAAGCTATCAATATGCAAATTTTTCCAAGCATTTTGATCTCATTTTTGGTTTAATATTCGCATTTAATGAAAATTTTTGCCCCTTTGAAATATACCTCCAGCAGAAAAAAACATGTATATTTGCAAGATACTGCAACACTGATTGAAGTGATACCTGTTTTTGTTGAGTATTGGGAGAGAAGAAGTATTCAGAAATGGCTTATTTCAAAAGTCTCAGTTGGACATTTAAGAACTAACATGTATAGCTCTAGCCTGTATACACCAAAACTAGCCTGAAACACTTGATGATTACCTTTGTGGTTTAATACGTATGCAGTTCAATTCACTAAATCTTGTTTGTATTACTAAGGAAGATAAGAGTAAAAATGGGATTGAAGGGAAGCTAGCAGGTATAAGAAAACTGACTGATGCCTAGGCTGTTGATGTTTAGTTGTTGTTTTTCCTTTATGGGTTTCAGGTTTTGCTTGTTTGTGATCTTCCCCACTGGAACCTCAAGAGTTTGTATTTCCCTTTCTGTGATTACGTGGTGTGTTCTGTGGAAAACAAAGAGAATGGAAGTAAATGATATCCCTTACCTTCTTCCACTCCTCAATTCACATTTTATATGGAATTTGTCACTAAAAGAGGTCTTTCCTTAAAACCTTCTGCATTTAACTGTTATTAATTTTTGTTTGGGTGAATAGGGATGAGAGAGAAATCAAGAGGTATGCTTATGGAATAGAAAATGTATTTGCAGATGATGATTTAAGAAGATTGAATTAAACTAAATTCAAAAAGGAGTTGCAACTCTATGACACCTGAGATTCAGACCATGTACTACCTGCAGATTCTGAGATTAAAATATATGCAAATTTGATAGCAATAGTCTAGTGGCAGCATTTTGTACAATGAAGGATGCTCATAACTAGACTCTGAAAAGATTGAAATTTGATTTAATAATATTAAATATTACTTTATGCAAGAATGACTTTCACCAGTGCTGGAGACAATTGCCCACATGGCTGTATTACTTATCAAGGATCACAGGAAAATCAGGTGATGGGAGAAAAACAGGTTTCATGGGCCATTTATGCTCCTACAACTTGCAATTCCATGCTCCCAAGACAGGGATACAAAGATACTTAACTGAAACTTAAATTAAAATTTCTCAGGGTCATAGCAGCTGGGGATGCCAAAAGTGTGAAAAAGTACATGTTTTTTTTCTTCTGATGGTTTGATGAGAGTTCCCCATCTGCTAAGAAAAATTCTAAGAGTGCATTGCATTGCTGATGAATCAGAACTGCTCCATCAGTGACTTCTGGGGTTATCTGTAGTCGAAAAATTGTATCAAGATCCTTCTGTTTGACAAATATGTAAGGGAGAAAGGGAAAGATTAGTAATGTCATCAGTTGAGAAACTCACCTTTGGTAATGTTAGTGGTAATTTGCACAGTGGAGACTGGTGTTGATAATTACAGTGTTGCAAGGGCTGTTTCCATTCCTTGGTTATCATCCCTCTGGTAATTTTGTAAAACACTGCTGTTCCTTTGTAGTGAGGGGAGCTGTGGTTACCAAACTCATCCAGTTCTTTAATATGGAGTTCTAGTCTGGGCTTTCTTTGTGAATGAAAAATCAGCCTGTAGGCTTTTCCAAAATCTTTTCCATTTTCTGCAGACCATGTGAATACAAGCAAACAGAACCCTGTTTTTTTTACACTGTATTTGGATGTATGGCATCAAAAATCATGCATTAAGGGGAGTTTAATAGAACTAATTATGTAATAATCTCTTGTTCTTTGTCATTATTACTAATTTTTATTGAACATTTGAGGCTTAAACATTCCTGCAGCCTGCCTCAGTAGTTTGAGTGTCTTTACAACTAGCTTTCCTAGCCCTTGAAATGTTGGCATGGGGAACAGGTGGTGAAGGCTGTGCTACAAGTTGAAAAGTAAGGAACATGGGAGATGACAAAACATATAAAACAAAGAAAAATAAAACTGTGTTGGGAATAGAAGTATATACCTTCTGATTGTTCAGGATGGATATATGCCTATCTGTAACAGCAATGAGATCAGAGGGGTGTGTTCCTTTTTAGGATTTGTAATTCTGTGTGACATGATACAAATATAAAATTATTCTTGCCATAAATAAGCAGGTGTTCTTTCAATCTGGAGGCTTTTCTTTTGGGAGAATAATCATTTCTTTAGTATGAATGGAGTTTTCAATGGACAAATATTGTATCATATATACAAAATGTTTATGGGGCAAATACAGGTGATTGCAAAGGTGGCAGAAGGGACTGTGTGTAATTTGGGGTGAAAAAAATTCTGATATTTCTTACCTCTTCTTTTAAGGAATTGTTGAATGACGGAAGTCAGTTCGCTGAATGCTCTAGGCTGCTAGAGCAAATCACACAGCAACTCACAAAAAGCACTATTTCACCCTGGATTTCAGTGTCAAACCTTGCTCACTTGAAGTGAATTTTAACCAAATAGATAGTGGACTGTTTACTTTTGTTTAGAATTTGTTTAATTCCTATCAAAAGTTTTATAATTTAAAAAGCCATCATTCCATTGATGGAATCCTGTCCTTCTGAAATACAAGAGAAAACAGCAGCTGCTTCCAAGGGACCAGGTTTCACAGAATGGCAGAGGCTGGAAAAGATCTCTAAAGATCATCTTGTTGACCAGCTCTGCTCAAGGCACTGTGACCCAAACTATGTTGCTCAGGTTGTTGTTATTCTAATACATTTTATTTATCAGAGTTGTTGCTTATGCTGTTCCGTGCACTTACTATTCATAAGCTACAAAACAGTGAAATAAGCTGTGACTGACTACAATCTATTGATGTTCACATACAGTATTTTTGGACAGCTAAGGTGATTGATATGTACTTTGAATAACGTACGTTGAAAAACATGAATTAATTACCATACCTGAAGCAAATATATTGCCTCTAAATTGAAAATGAATCTGCTCTCCTTCTCTTAAAGGAAACTGCTGTGTAGGTTCTGGGGGACCAAAGTAGCCTTCTTCATGGAGATTTTGAATTTCCCAGGTCAATTCCTTGGATGCAGTTAGTAAAACTATTATTTTATATGGGTTTTCTCTTTTCCGATACATTATCACATTTGACATTGTGCTACAAACAGCTTCTTCCAGAGCCTGAGCAAAGAGGAGGAGATAAGTGTTTTCCAAGAGGAATGAAAGCCGAATGACCACAAAGCTGTATTTAAAAAATGACAAGAAAGAAAATAGCTTTATCTTAAATCTTTTCATCATCAAATAAGAATTAGTTACGTAAAAAACTGCAGGGCTCACTCTCTCTAATGCGGTTTTTGCTGCCTCTTTTAAATATTGTTTCATATGAAAGGGAGAAAGCATGCCTGATTCTGTAGAGTATATTGGCTCCATATCTATGAATTAAAATAGATATGATGTTTCTTTTAATTTAAGTAAGAGAATATTTTTTAAAAAGAAATTTCAAAAAATATTCTGGTCTTTTATTTAAAGACCAAAATCACATTGTCAATTTAAGATTAGTATCTGCATTTCCTATCTCAAGTTTTGTGCACAATCAATAAATGGAAAATTTTTTTTATAAAAAACATGCTTTCTGTAATTATGCCTGACAAATCTAAATGATCTTATTCTATGAACTGCATGAAAGAGATTCCGGCAAGTTAATAATGCATAGTGAATGATTTCTTAAATCTACTAATTTCACTGATTTATGTACTTGGAAGAAAATATTTTAGTCAATAAAATTTGTGTTAATTTTTTCATACATTACCTTTCTAAATGTTCATTTAGATCAAATGACACAAGACCATTCTGTGCATTCCGGATAACAATATCATCAAAGACCATCCACTCATCTTTGTTTCTGTGACCTAATAATTTGAAAGTATCTCTGAAACTCTCTCCATTCTTTCTCAAAGAAGCACTTGTAGCCCTGAAAAGCCACAAAATGATGACAATTAAAAAAAAAAAAAAAAAAGATATCCTGTAGGAGCCATCAGGGTTGTATTTGTAGAACTACTTTCTCTTGTTTTCTTTGGTGACCTCTTGTGGCTTTTTCCACCCTGCTGAAAATCTCCTTCTGAAATTTCTCCAGCATACATAAAGAATGTAACAGTCAGGATTTTTTTTTTTTTCCATTTGTTGTGTTTTTAAAGTCCCCAGAAAGAGAAAAATAAGGAAAATATTTCTTTCTAAATCAATCAATCTAACTTATTCTATTATTTAACATCATGTAGTAATTACTGTGGATTATTTTTGAGACATCTACTGAGTATTAGATTCTCTTGAAATAGGTGTCTGAAATGGGTAAAACAAGGTAACACCTTTTCCTCCACAAGCAAATATTATTCAGTAAGTAAATGTTATGGCACAAAGAGGGTTAGAAAATAAGACACTACTGCTCTCCGTTCCTCTTTCAACAAAAAAATAAGATACTCTTCAGTTCAAGTGATTACTTTGATACTACACTTTGAATTGAGCAACTGCATTGTGAAATGCTCCAGCTAACTTAGCCTAATGAATGAAATGAGTTGTTTTTTTTTTCTTTTTTTTCTTTTTTTTCCTTTTTTTTCTTATAGAAGCCCATAACTCTCCTCTCACTCATACTTTCTCTTGCCAATTTTTTAATCTGGATGTGAATAACCCCATGACCACAAATGATGTTTATATATCAACACGCTGTATGGATTTCCTTGGTGAAGTTATAGCATAAGAAGTATGTGGATCTGCTCTAGTATTTCTAACAATATTTTTTGCTGTAGCAGGCTCTCTTCACAAGGCAAGTCATCAAGTTAAAAAATTATTAATATCTGTTAAAATTAATTATATCTGGTGATCTGGTGTTTTTCTTATGTTGAATTTGTAGTGAAGTTGTTCTTACCGAGGATGGTATGCGGCAGCAACTCTCTTTACTGTAGCAGTAATGGCTCTCACTTGCTCTGTCTCCTCCTCCTGCCTTTTTTTTTCTGGGTTTGGAGGACAGGGTAGAGTAATGGTGACTGAGTTGTTAAATGGTTGGGCTGAAGGATGGTGGACATAAACCAGTGCACTGGTAGATACCACTGAGAGGTACATGTCATGTTTTGCCTTCAGTGTGGAAATTAGTGATGGCTCAATTGGATGAATCTAAATACAGAAAGCAGTTGTACAATTAATTCTTAAATGAATAAATGTCTCCTTACATGCTTGTTGGCTTTGTTTGTTTATTTTTAAATAAATTTGTTTAACTTTTGAAATTAGATGAGATTATCAGAAAGGCTATAGGCTCCTCTTTGTAACCAAGGAACAATCTTAGCAGTGTATTAGCAAGTTATACAATGCACAGCTAAGTGCCTGAATGTAATAAATAGCAGGAACTTTTACTGACTTAAATACTGCGAATGTTTTGTTTTGTTTGTGTTGTGAGTTCAAGTTTTAAAACTCCTGAGCCTCATCAGAGTTTCATAATTTTTCAATGTTTTCTGTTTCTTTAATGTTAACTTTAACTTCTCTGAATTGTATCTTGCGTCTCAGAATAAATGTGGCTATGGGGGTGGGGAGGCACAAAGAATAACTGAAGCAAATGTTGAGATTATTCTCAGCCTAACGCTAAGAGGTAACAAAATCTGTTGCAGCTCCTGGTAGAAACGAAGAAGGTCAGATGAAAAAAATTGTTCCATTAGTTTAAAAGCTGGGCCAAATTGTTCAAGTTAGGGGTTGATGCTTAAGTCATTGCATAAAATAAGTGTTTTTCTCTGAAACATGTCAGACAAAGGTCAATTGCTCTTTGTAGCTGGAGATACTGTGTTGACTACTTCCTGGCTGTATCATGTGGTTTTAACAAAGTCGACAGAAACCATTTGCTGTGAATATAGGGTGTGGAGTTGCCTCTGCTTTTCATAGACATCTAATAATGGAACATGTTGCCCTTTAACACAGTTGTGTCTTTTCTTCAGAACTGATCAGATAACACAGAGACTAGGAATAAGTACTGCCTATTTCATCTCACCTTTAACATCATGGTTGCTGGAGAAGTGAACGTTTCTGAAGGGTAATAGAAAGAGATCCTGGAATCCATGCTCAGGTTTTGTGAGAGTCCTGCTGTTGGAACGGTAAATATTTCTTTCTTTAAACATGACAACACAGAAAAAACACCCAGCTGATAAACTTTCACTTCCGCAAATGTTTCCTGTGTAAAGAGAATGTGGGGTAGAGTACGTCAGAGAGAAAGGAAGCTGCGCTTTGCAGTGGTTTAGCATTTTGAGAGAGGAATATTTATACAGCAAAATGTGAAACAAAAATAAGCGAAGTATTATTGGCATGACCAGTTATCTGGTGATTTCTAGTCGTCTTCTAATGTCATTCATTTTGTCTGTATGACTGAGGAAATGAGCTCATCAGCTGGGTGATGGGTCTTGCACAATATGATTACTTCTGCGGTTAAAAAATAAAGAACAATCCTGTGTTTCTTTCAGAAGAAATTTGGATTCGTAAACAAAAAATACGTTACTTCTTTGTGATCTGAATGCAAAATAATTCCCCTTAGGTTTTTACTTTGAACAAAGAATGGTACATATTACATCTATTTACAAAAATCACCGGTGACTACTCAGCCAGTAGTTTAGTTAACAGCTTAGAAAACAGGTTACCAACCTTGTGGTTTCCGTGGTATCCTTCCAGAGAAATGGGAGTTAAGTAATTTGATTGAAAGTTCATGTCTGTCACCTTCACCATAATCTCCCGGTAATTTCCTCTGAAGCGTGAAGTAAATGGGATTGCAATGTTAATAGGAAAAGGGATAGTTTTCTCATAATCAGAGCATTCAACACTGATGACATTGCTGACCAGCTCCTCAAAATCATCCACCACCAAGGAACTTGTGTCATTGACTATTGTACAAGTCAGATTCTCCAGGGCAGTTGCAGGAGCTTTAATAAAGCAAACTATTTTATGTTCACTCCTACCACTCTGTTCCATTACAAATCTGGAGGGAAAAAAAAGTATATTTATTATTTTTTGTATTTTGGGTTTCATAATACCTTGTATTTCTAATTACATATATTACTATAATCATGAACTACATTAGAGTATAGGCAGATCATTCATGAAAACATATGTATATGAAAAATTTTATGTTGAGCTTCTTTTACAGCAATTTTCAACTAAGTTTTTTTTCCTTTCCACTAAATTCTAAAAGATTTTGGAAGTACTGGTTTTACTGACTGTGACTCAGTCCCTCTCTGGTATAATAAAAATCAATATAAGCAAATAGTTTCAGTTTGATTTAGACCAAACTGAACATCCTCACCATACGTGATTAAATTGTAATCTGCTATGTGCATGACCATGGACCACTGAGTCTGTGCATCCTGAGCTTGTGGGTCCACAGATGTTACTAGGTATTCAAATAAACAGTATGTATGTACAAGTGTTCAAACAAAAAATGAAAACGTGCTTACTCCTTGTTTAACCAGCGCCTATATTTTTGCACATCTTCTGAATCACTCATTGAAGGAATCACAGCATTAAGATCACTGGTTTGTGCTGAAGATGTGACAGTAAGTGGATCATTCCTATACATATCATAATTTATTTCCTTTTTATTGTCTTTCATTTGCTCTGTCAATGTCAGTTCTTTCTCCTGTTCAGAAAGATTTCTGACAGTTCTGTCATGAGTATCCATTGATGACCGAGATGAAATACTTTCTCCACTGTCCATAAGATCATCTTGACAAGTCAGTTGTGGATATTTTTCAGGAGAAGAGCCATCTCTGTGAGGTTTATCTCTTCCATTATTATCTATTTTCTCTGAAATAGACGTTGTTAGCACTCTGTATTCACCATCTTCTTTTGTTGTTGGAGGTTCTCTGCTAACTTCCTGTTCTCTGACAGATATATTTTCAGCTAATGATGCAACAGTTTCTTTTTTCACAGTTTTAATTTCATGTGGATGAACTTGATTAATGTTCTGACTTTCTATCTTGCTTGAGGAAGGAGTTCTCTGGTATCTCTGGCTGGAACTAGAGGATGCCTGCACAGATTGCTTTGCTTCTCTTTCAAAATTGCATACTCTAGTTTCTACAAAAGCATATTGAGCAGCCTGGATCTGAGAAACATCATCTTGTTGGCAGATAGCTCCACGAAATTTATTTTTGGCCTCTTGAAGGTGTGAAACTGTATTTGTCAAGTAGTCCTTCATTTTCTGCAGACAATCTATAACATCATGATATTCTGAGGGAAAAAAAGTAGGTAACCAAGTGAATTTTGCTATGAAAGCTATCAAAAGGTAAAAACTTAGACATGTGAATTCTACCTAATTCCAAAATGCTATGCAACATATGAAGAAGAATACGTTTTCTGGCTTCCATTTAATGTTTTCACATTTATTGCTATTCAGTTTGAGTGAATTTCTGAAGAACTGAATACAAACAAGTACAACTCTAATTTTCCAAATACTTCTGTGGCAGATCTAATGAACTCCATTTTATTGATCAGACAGACACTTGCTAAACTCTTAACGACAGTCAATCTAAAGTAGGAAATTGATAAACAGTAGCCTAATCAAAAGCAGGAAATTGGTAAGCAGTAGTCTAATCAACTTGGAAACAGTTTGAAAACAGATCATTAATTACATATATTTCCTAAACTTGATTGTGGTATATGGGGCTTTAACAAAGCTGTTTTACATGGTCTCAATATGAAACATACTTTACTTTTTGCAAGGAACAGATAATAATGTAAATTATATACACGTATACAGTACTGTAGCATCCAGTTATAGGAATGGTGGAAGTTTGCTTGCGTATAACTAACAGTTTATTTTATCAACCCTCATTTGTCTTATCTTACACCTTTTCTTAGAAATTATTCCAGGTACTCTCTCCAACGATTCATCTCTATTACTTTCAGCTCTGTCCTCAGCTTACACTGTCAATCTGTTTATATCTGAAACTGTCTTCATTAGTTAAGTGCACTGCAGAGCTCTGGGAGAAATTCATGCTTATTTCTGTTTTCTGCATGAGATTTTGGAAAGCTTTGTTTCTCAGGTTAAATCTAGTGAAAGTCAATAGAAATAAGAAAATTGTATAGATGGAACATGATGTAGTATGCTCTTGACTCATAATAGAAAGAGAATGTGATACAGGTAGGAAAATAGAAAGGGTTTGATACAAACCTTAGGGGAAAACACTGATCTCATTCACTTTATTCAATAGTGTCATGTGAAGTAAATTGATATCTCAAAGTTTTCAAGGAAATAATTGTATGGAGTAAGAATTTCATAGGTGTGTTATTATGTGATTTCACTTTCAGCTCTGTCAACACCTGAATAATTTAAAACTACAGAGTAGAGTTTTGGATAATTTTTTCATTGTTTATCTCAGTCTAAAAATTATTTCTTTGCAATACTTTTCCAGTTTCAAATGAATTATTCTTGGATCTTGAGTATATTTATCTTACGATGGTAAGCAATCTTCCTGTTTTTATCTCAACATTTTTCTTTCATGTTTTCTCCTCCTGTCCTGCTGAGAATGGAGAATGGCTGAGTGGGTGTCAGGCATCTAGCCAATGTCAATCTACTACATTATGGAGTACATAAGACAGTAAAAGAATGGATTATTTAATTATATACATATATTATTCTCGTATAGTGAGAATTATGAATCTTATATTGAGTCTCACAAAATAGTGATATAATATTTGAAATATTAATTCCTTTGTTCTAATGAATGGCCAAATGCTGAAATACTAATAAGTGAAAATTTAAATCCATCCAGTACCATTGCACATCAGAAATTGTTATCCAGTACACCCTGTCCGCTCCTTTCATGAGGTAGCTTTTCCATACTTGCCTGGACTGACAGTCAGTTCCTTGTGTTTGTCAAGGAGAATACTCAGCAAGTGGAAAGTGTCTTGAAGATTTTCTGTAATGTTCTCCAGCTGTTGGCTGAGAGATCCTCTCAGCTCTTCTGTTGAAGAGATCAGTTGTTGCACATATTCCACTATCTCTTCATTATTCAGATCTCTTTTCAGAAGCAACTGTCCTCCTAGAAAGTTCAGGTGCCAGATTTTTTGCAGGATTTTTCCTGATTTGTCAGCAGAAGTTGTAATCTTACTTTCTGCCATTTCCATTTTATGTTCAGAATGTACTGCTGCAATTTTTCTTCTGTTAAAACGCTTTCAAAAGATGTTGTCCTTTGTTCAGGCAATGCTGTTTACTATTTGTAACTCACCCAGAATATAAAAAAATACTGTATTCCACCAGCACTTCAAAAATTAAGCTTTAGCTCAGAAACTGGGTTGATGTTGACTATTAGAAAGTTACTAGGTGACAAAAAGGAGTGGCTCAGGTGTGACTAAGGGCAAGAACTTCCAAGAGATGCCAATATAGAGCACACACATTTAAGAACATAGGTGGGGAGGTTATATAACCCAGTTAAGTAACAGACATTTCAGGAGCTCTAAGCAATTTCTAAATTCAATGCTGTACATGACTGGTGCCTGTGAAATTAAGTCCTAATTATGAATCCATAACTATATAGTCACCGCCATCAAGAAGTATTTCAATTGCAGCTTTTCATTGTGAGCTAGCATTAAACACTATAGATCACTTAACAGCATTTTCAAAAAACTGTACATTGTTTTTGTTCAGAGACACAATGCAGGTGGGACAGGTCCAATGTATCACATGTGCTAGATGATGCATTGTTTTTATACATAGGTTTCAGAAATACAAGGATTTACAAATATGATTTTGTGTCTAGCAATTAAAAAAAATAGACAAGTGAAGAAACATGAAGTGTTTTCTGGATTGTATTTACATAACAGAGGAAGAAATGTTTTAAAAAACAAGAGGACAAATAGCTAGATCAAACAACTACTGGCTGGAATTTTGTATGACATTTTGGAAGCTAAGAAACAAATTTAAAAATGTAAGCTTTCTAAACTTAGTTGTAAGGTCAAGAACTGGCTGTGGGTTGTTCATGGGGAAAAAACGAAAACAAGCCAATAAACTTAACAACAAAAACAAAAAGGCAGTCCTTTAGTACCCCACATAAGCTAGCAGCTCTGCTTTCTCAGGGTCTCATGACCACATGCTGCGGGAAGAAGCTTTGCCATCAGGACTTCTATGCTGCTTTTTCATTGACTTTAGTAGGTGGTATCCCAATGGCACTATTTGCATTGATTTTCATTTCACCCAGCTTGTTGAGAAACAAAACTTTCCCCAGACTGATAGTGAAAAGAGGTGGAGGAACTCCAACACAAGTTGGCGTTGTGCTACCCTGAGGAAGACTAGCTAGACATCCTTCTTGGAAGATTTCAGTGCTGGTCTAAATCTGAAGTGTCACATACCAAAATATTTTACAGTTTAAGAAATATGCTATACAAATTCTTGGTAATGAGGCTTTCCTACTAAACATTCATTTTAATGACCCATTGTAAATACAATTAATGAAGATTTTAATAGCAATTAAAATGGGACTGGACACTTAAAACAGTGTATGAGCATTATGAGGACTAATCAGGTAATGTCAGCAGAGTGCTTTGAAAATGTAAAGCACTGTAAAAATGTTAAAAATAACAATCAAAGATACTGAGTGTCTTTAATCAAACGAATGGACTGAAATCAGCTGTAATTATTAAATTCAAAAGGGAATTTCCTTTTGACTCATTATGGTTTGCTTGATCATACTGAAAATGTACTACACAGCTAAAACAAGAAATCATATGAATCACCAACCTATTTACCTTTGATCCAACATCACTACATTCTTCTAAGCTATTCCTAGGATAAAGGGAACTCTGAAAATAGCATATACTTTCACGTATGAGTGAAAAATCTAATCTTCCCACTCAAAAATTTTGGAATGTGTAAAAAAAATAAAAGAAGAGGGGCAAAAATACTTTATTATGTATTTACCATGTACTATTGCATGCACCATCTTCCTTGTATAATTCTATATTATTCCTCTGGATATAATATAGATTCAATAGATCTACATCTTTTCCAATATATGTATTTGCTTTGAATATTTCAGAATATTTTAATAAATTAATGACGTGCAGATATGAGTTCTGAAAAAAAAATAGTTTGAATAATGGTACAATCAGATCTGATTTTGAAAAAGTAACATTTTTGTTTGAAATATCTCTGTTAGAGAATATGACTACTCATCAAATCTTGCAGAGATTTCTAGAAGCTACTGCTACAATACATTTTTATAAGTACAATTTAAGAAGGTATGATAGGACCTGATCTAGATGCATGCTCTTTGCCATAAGCAAACTGTTTTGATGAGTCAAAAATTATAATAACTCCTACTGCGGTTAATGCATGCTAACTGTGTAAATTGTCTGTGCATATTTGAAAGAGTAGATAAATTAGTTTAGAAAGTACATTTCCTAAAATGCATTCGATAGGAGAAGAGAAACTGTTTTCAGTTTTTAATGTATAGTTGAAGAAAAAGTATCAGTCCTATGAGAAAAAAAAATCGCACTTATGTTCTCTAAACTTGAGTGAAACACGCAAAAATGCTTTTGTAGAAGTATGAAGTACTATAAGGTATAATTTTCTGTCATTATGCAGCAGTCTACATAAGAATTTATTCTAGGGATAACTGGGTAAGCTACATTCTTGTTGAAGCAGTTATTACACAAGTACTGGTATTGAGAGACATTTCAATTCTATAAACATGTTTATACATCAGGTCTCACAAAATACAATGAGGTAGTAGTTGCCACTCAAGTCACAGTTGATTTTCCAACTTTTTTTCCAGTAGCAAAGAGAATATTTAAATAGGTTATTTGATGATTTATTTGGATGTATTTAAATTCAGCAGTTTGTTTAGCATAGAGTTTTACTCGAATGAAAATAAGTCCCTGTCTTACTATAATTTTAGTCACGGATTTGGACAATGAAAACCTGCTTGTGCTATTTTTCTAATAATACGTGTTTCTTCTTACCTGAAGAATGATGAAAAAATATATATCTGAGATTTATTGCCTATCTTTGATGGTGTTCAGTGAGTAGTGTTATAATTTAAGGTTTGTGTTTATTTATTGTATTGGCAGGCATTGGACAATCTAACTATGGAGTATTTGGGAACAGTTAGACTTTTATCACTTGACACAAGCTCTTGCCCAAGTAAATAACCCATCTGAGTTTTCAGGGCCTTGTATGCAACTGCAGCCCTGAGCAGCTTCACCTAGTGAAGGCTGGGCCACATTTACAGATTTCAGAGCACTTTGCAAATGTTGCTGAAGTTAGTAAACTATAACCAGAAAACATGATGGGTAAAGAAAG